GGAAAAGCTCCAATCAGGTCCACATTTGTTTAGAGCGCCTTTGCTCCCGTGTCTTGCTTACAGATGTTCTTGCGTTAGTGCCTCCCCTGCCAGTCCGTCTCCCCAGAAGCATCTCTTGAGATGAGGCTCTGGCTTATTACCCATGCAGGAAAATCCTCCTCTAGCCTAGAGGTTGCCCATTTATGTAGCAGGAAAAAGGGGGTTGTTATTTTGTGGGCAGCCCACAAATGTATGTACAGAAAAGTACCTGGCCCTTAAAAGATAATTAAAATTGTCTGCATCCTTTCTTTTTATCAAGTCTTTTAGGGTCTCCTCATAGATCAGAATAGAAAACATCTAGTATTAGGTGTAAATCTATGTTTATACATCCATTAGTATTTTTTAATTGAGATATAATTGACATATTAACTCAGGTGCACAACATAATTCAACAAACCATTAGTGTTAATAAATATAATGAGTGTACTATTAGATGTTCTTTAGGTTTCTGGTGGCCTCTAAATTCTATTCTAAATGATTAGTAAACACTAAACATTGGGTTTAGTTGGTTCTCTCCTGACATCTAGTGTTCCTGATCCATTACTGCAATAACTTCATTTTAAAACACTATTGGAATAAAAATGTTATATGGAATAAAAACTTAATTCCTCTTAGAAAAGTAAGTGGAATAAAATTACAAGCTAATAACAAAAAAAGCTTCTGTTCCTAAGGAGCAAAGGACCCTTTTTCCACAATTCTTTCCATATAAGTGGTATCTGTTCTTGCTCTTCTGATAGGAAACATAGCATGCACGTTGGACTGTTCCATTATTGTGGAGGAGGGAAAGGAAATGAGGGGAGGCCACTTATTGATGGCCTACTATGGGCCGGGTTCTGCACCTGAATACTTCAGTGGGACTTATCCCTGTGCTTTTAGAAGCTGTAGGACCACCCTAACCCCATTCTAACCCCATCCCAACCATGGAAACAGCCTGACAAGGTATTGAGACTGTCCTACTCTGCAGTGGGGCAATGGAGCCAGCATCCCTTCATAAAACATCTTCTGCCAGACAAGTTATGTACACATATGGGCACTCAGAACTATCTTCTAAATAGAAATGAGTGGCAGGCTCTGCCCTTAAGTCCCATCCAGGCAAGGGATGTCTAACCCTCTGTCCCTCGTTTAGCTCGGCTTAAGACTGCTCTGAGGCAGGCTGACCTTGTTACATCAACGGGGGCGAGAGGACATGGACTCAAAGTGCTTGCTGATGAGTCTGGGAGGGGGATGGCCAGCCCTAGGGGACTGCCTGCACATGATGTAGAGCTTGTGGAAGGAGTGGAGTGAATACTTGGGGCACTAGTGGCTGGACCTGGAGGTATGGAGGCTAAAAGATGGGTGTTGCCACGTCACTGCCTTTGCGCGCTGTTAACGGGGTGACACTGCAGTTGGGAGTTAAGAGCCAGCACATGGGCTCACACATGTGGCTCAAGCCCAGGGGTCAGTGGTGGATCTCCAGCAGACCAGATTCCCGAACTTCTCACTTGCCCTCAGGCCTCTGCACAGCCTTCCTGCAGGTGGTGGTGTGTGGAAAACAGGGATGTTGCAACTTTGAAAGAGACTCCATTCTCGGAATAAAGTAATCCCAGTGTAAAGACTTCAAAAATATACATGGTTGGAAAAATAGAAAACTTAACATGAGTAAAAACAAATGATGGTTCCCATTTTCTTGCATTTGTGGCCATCACCAATAGCACAGTGAGAACTTTAGGGGCAATTAGAAGCCAGCATTCTGGGGCAGAAGGAAGGGTGATACAGCATGGTGAGTGATGATACAGTCAGGAATATATGTTATTAGGGAACTTCAGAGACAAGCAGATCTATAATATTTCAAAACAAACAGGTTGGAAAGGGCCCGGGCAGTATGAGTAATAACAGTGTTGCTACCTTTTTCTACTGTGGAGACATGAAATTCACCAGAAATGGCACATTAGACAGTAAGACTTAACAGAATCTTCATGCTTATGGACAGAAACTAGATGCACCACACTTTCATCAACATCCTTTTTAGCTGAATGTGTTAATCCCTTTCAATTTCTATGTCCTGCTGGCCTTAAAGCCCAAAGCTTAGGGTTTATCTCAGTATCTTCAGAGTATTATTAACTTTTATACAGAAAATCATTCATAACCTCCTCCAGCCTCCTGCCCTGTCACTCTTCCCCACTTTTCCACTTCTCTAGCAGCAGCTGTGGAGGACCAAGGAGAACAGGTGCATAAACACTGTCAGAAACAGCTCCAAAAATCCCCTCTCTTCCAGCTGCTTGGCTGTCCTCAAGGAATTCCTCAATTTCAGAGTTTGTGAGAATAGATGGGACAGTGAAGGGTGGAAGAGGGAAGCAAAGGATGACAAATATATTAAAATGCACCCAAATAAATGTATGACAGCTTTCAGGTTATTTTCCATGGGGAGAAAAGTTCATTCACAAATAGTCACAAGTACTTATGGAGGGCCTGGATACTCCTGAGACTCAAAGGAGAGAGAGGTCGCAGGGAACTGGAGGTAGGATTTAAAGAGTCTTCAGCAAGGATGGGTAGACCGGGTATGGGGTGGTGTTTATTTCCAGAATCAATCAGAAAAAAAATAAAATACCTGTATTTTCAATAAATGAATTTTTTTCTAATCTTGAGATAAAAGGAAGCTTTTACATGAAATACACTATGATTGTTTATCTGCCTCACGAATTATCAAATGTGATATAGTCAAATATACTGAATACAGATGCAGAGCCAGTAACAACATAAAGACGAAACCTCAGTGGCTTTCCATTACTGCCATGAGTATCAAGTTATTGAAACAATTTCATCATGGAATTATTCAAAATTTCTGTTAACATATGGAAAGCTTTCAATTAAATATATAACTTTGCTGAAATCGAGAAATATTTCCAGTATAGACGGGATGGTACTGATAAATCAGTGCTTCTTCCTCTTCAATATCAGATTGAAAATGATGACCGTTTTTCCGAGCTGCAAGAAAAAGAAAATGTGAATTCTTAAAAGGATAGGATATAATTTTCAAAAGGTTACTTTATAATGGCTCATCCTATCATCCGTATTAAGTGGGGAAAATAGTACCCAAAAGGAAACATACCTTATAGAACTTCCCCCAAATAAAGATGTAGAGAAGTTACCTGCTGACACAGCTGCACATCTGCCCCACCCAGACCAAATGGGGTGCTCACGCCCCATGCATCACTAAGTGCCTACTGTGTACAGGATTTGATACAGAGACTGGGGACAGAAATATAACCAGGGCAAGGTTCTAACACTCAAGAAGTCGAGTCTGGTAACCACACAGAATTGTAGATAGTAATGTTTTTATAGTCTATCTTCATCGAGATGCTTCGAGAGTGAAGAGGAAGAAGAAACTGGCAAAGATGAGTCAGGTGGGGCAGTGAGGCCGTTTCCACAGGTCAGGCAGAACTGTGAGAGGCATGGAGAAGGGAGCATGGGTCAAGTTTGGATATAAGAAGGTAAAGGCTCAGACATTTTCCTAAGATCAAGATAAAGTAACTATAGGCTGTTGTGGCATGTTTTAAAACAAGGATAGCCTATATAATAAAAGTCGAATATGCAAATCAATCGAACGGCGAAATGACCAGCCGCTATGACACGCACTGACCACCAGGGGCAGATGCTCAATGCAGGAGCTGCCCCCAGCTCGCAGGCCCCAGGCCAGCCAAGGTGGGTGCCAGCGGGGGGGCCCCCTGATCACCCTGCCGGTTGCCCCACAGAGCGGCCTTGATCATCAGCCAGGCCCAGGGACCCTACCCATGCACGAATTTTATGCACTGGGCCTCTAGTTAGAAAATAAAGAGCGAATAATAGCCCTGCCATGGGACAACACTGCAGCCAACTGCTCCATCCTGTTCTCATTTACTCCAACACACAAGACATGAAAATGCTTCTTGGAACTAATACTACACATGGGGAGAACTGTTTTTTTCTTTTAAATTGGGATTTTTGTCATGAAATTGCCCATTCCTCTGAGCATAATTCTAAACCAGAGTGAACTCAGTGTGGGCAGGAGGGTTGCTAAAAACGTAGGCCAAGCTTGGAGAGACACCAACAAGGCCCGCTGAAGGGTTCAATGGCCACGCCTCCAGAGTGATGCCTGCCCCTTGCAAGTGGTGCTTGTAGCTCTTTCTTATCTCAGAATCACTCAATTAAAACATTAATTCTCAATTCTACCCACAAACATAGCATGAAGAAAAAAAAAAAAAAAAGCAAAGCTGAACTTTCCCCTATGGGCCCATGCCTACTGATAGGCAGCCTTAAAGTCACAGAAGGATGAGTATATACTCAGTTTATATAATTGCCTTGAAAATATAACATCTAATTCTCAGAGAATGTTATAACTAAAGCATTATTCCTAAAAAGAAGACTAGTAGGGGAAAATACTAAAGAAAAAGTATTCCATAAAGAAAGGAAAAAAGAATTCAACAGTCTTTACACCGTTGTTCAAGTATTCAGCACAGTTTAGAACACACAATACTATTAATTGAAATCACTGTCCTGGTTTTAGTTGAATCCCTAATACCTCAATTTCAGGGCTTTCACAATGACTGTTTTAAAGGTTGTTTTTTGTTGTTGTTGTTTTAAAAAAAGCATTTACATAGAGCAAGAGTATATAAGAGTTCAGATGAGGGCATTTCCTTCAAAACTACACTAATGGAGTGATAAGATAATGTACCCACATATTACCTTCAGAAACAAAGAACTCCGCTAAATAAAATGCAGCCTTCACAGCGTTGGGTGCGTGGGAAATGCCGTCAAATAACCCCCACTCGTAAGGAGATTTCTCTGGATGCCACTGGACGCCATACACTGGATACTTGTACCCTGCATGAAAAACACAAACGAGTAAGTAGTAAGCGGTGAGAATATCTACCATGTTACTTACCACTAAATTACATTTTACATCCTACGTAAACATACTTTAACTCACTAACTCAGACAAAGTGAAACTGTGCATGTTCTCAGACACAAAATGAAGAATTTCAGTTCACAGTCACAATACAGTAATTCACTGATTTCCAACTTCTTACAATCTGTAATATGATTCGCTTTACTAGCTCATCAGAGTAAAGGAAAATAGTTGAGCCTCTGAGACAACTTTAAACAAACATTTTGGAGCTGAGATTTCTCGAACTTCCCCGTTAGTACAATGCAGGCCACACTCGAGCCTGCCGTTTGAATACTCAAGGCTTGTTTACCATCCCCGCCTTCAGGCCAGGACTCGACGGGCAGGTCTCCTTGCAGCTCTGCAGGGAGGATTCATGGAGGGTGTAGCCTTCAGGTCCTGCTATATGGGGCCCTCTCCATTTGTGGGGTCCTGAGCTTTGCCTCAAGTTCTCCGTATTAATAGTAATGCTGATTTAAGTACCCCACTTCAGCGGGTTTCTGTGGTGTAGTGGTCATCTGGCTCGCCTCACACACAAGAGGTCCTTGGTTCAAAACTAAGCAGACATTTGGTGCTCTCTGCCTTCCAGATTCCAGGAGCTATCACTCCATCAACTCCTTTCAGAGGGCCCTCCCCAAATACTCTACTCAGCCCTTGGGAGTTTTTGGCCCGAGTATCCTTATTTTCTCACTATTTAATCAATGTATTTAGGGAGATGTTTTGCTGTATGTCAGTTACACCTTTTGTTGTTGCTGGAGGAGAACCTGTCAAAAGTACTTAATCCACAATACTGTTGGGTGAAAAAGGATTGGGAAAAAAATACAATAAAATGTTCAGACACAGACAGCAGTATGGTGATGATCACGGGGAAGGGGGAAAAATGATGATGGAAGGATACTTGACTTTGAGTGGTGAGCACACAATACAAGATAAAGATGACGTATTATAGAATTGTATATCTCAAACCTTTATAATTTTTTAACCAATGTTATCCCAATAAGTTCGGTAATTTTTTTTTCTTAAAAGAGAGGTCACTGTCTCTATTTATTTCTTCATTCCTCTTTTCTTCCCTTCTTCACCCCACCCCCATCTAGATGATCCAGGTTAACCACAACTGTTTTGGAACATGAACAAAACACAGTTCCTGTCTCCAAAACTGCCCTAATTTCGATCTTCAGACCCCAAAGTTATTGTGATTTTATTCATTAAAAAAAAACCTATAAAATCAAAACTAATAAACATAATATGTGAAAAGTGTACATGTAGTGACATATACCTTCCATTGTTGAAATAAACTCAATCTTGCCATCATTATTTGTAGTTAGTACATTGAAAAACGCCTTTAATTTTTCATTCTTCGTAAAATTCTGGAGTATAAAAATAAAATAATTACTCCTATAATTACTCTAAATGCATTGATGTCATTACATAATTAATAAGATACCATCTTGGAGAGGCTCCACATGTGGAAATTTGCAGTCAGAGGCTCTAATTCAGGACAACAA